AGGTATAAGCGGTTCTCATCGACCGGAAGGGATTCCTTCCGGTCAATGAGGTTGTTTTACCTCATCGACCGGAAGGAATCCTTTCCGGTCGATGAGACTTTTTTTTCTTGTCGACCGGAAGGAGGAAATCCTTCCGGTCATGGGAGCGGGAGCGACGACTCCCAAACCCCCTCAAGCGTGAGGGGCGGTTTGGGGCGCCGACTCCCAAAAATAAATTAAAAAAATAAAAAAAAACATTTGATGGCCGACTCCCAAAGTCAGCCATCTTTTGGAAGAACGACTCCCAGCCGACGACCCCTCGACCAAAACGGGAGTCGTTGGCGAAAATTTGGGAGTCGTTTTTCCAACCCCCATAAAAAATGCCAAATTTTTTTATTTTCATTTTCTGTTTGCTGAAAAAGTAGAAAGAAAATATATAAAATAACAAACAGCCCACTTTCAAAACCAATGGGAATTCCTCCATTTTACCAATTCACTTATGACTTAAAACCAAGAATAGTGAGATTGCCAAAACAGAATTAAATTTGCTTCTTTATAAATATCCCAAAAATTGGGCAATACCAATGATGTATTTAGGTTTACTTTGACTTTTCAAATACTCATATGTAGAAAAAAATAACTTCATGAATTGAATCAAATTAAATTTTCTCTTTTGGGGATTCTTTATATATACCCAACAAGAATGGTCAATTTTAGATGATTTTTTAGCATATATGAAATCCTGAAAAAAAAAAAAGTTAAAAAGGCTGGGAAAACCCAGGTGTAAACAAACTGGGTGTGAATAGCAGAAAGGGGGGGGGGTACATCTATTAATCCCCTAAACAAATCCCTCCCCCCCATAAAAAAAAGCAGGGTTTCACCTGGATTGGCGACCCTACAGCAATGGAGCCAAACAAGAGTCACACAATGGGGGAGAAACTGCTTGTCCTATTCCCCCCCTAAGCCTTTTACATCTCAAATTGCTCAGCTGATACATGAACCACTAATTTGCATGCTGTGATGCCCAAATGTGGACCGATCATTTGGGATCCAGCTGAGACTGTTCCTTCAGTCACTGAATATGTATTTCTCCAATGGCCAGGAAATGCAACAAAATTACCTCTGACTCAGACTAGAGACCTGCCTGATTTTCATGGATACTGCTTCACAGTGCTTGTGATAAAAAAACATCAATAACTCATCAAATACCACTTGAACTTGAGTAATCCACTCACCTAACTGCATGGGCTGGGACAGGTGAGAGTACAGATGCCAAATACCTGCACACAGGTACCAAGCTAACTTAACTAACTCCCTTCCCTTCCTGGTCATAGTGGTAAATCACTTGTTGCATTGCGCTGACTGGAGGGAGGGACTTACAAGCAAGGTCCACCCCACAGCCCAAGAGCATTAAGGATTTTGGTGGGGGTTTTTTTAGAATTAATCTCACACAAATTCGGATGATTGTTTTCCTCTAGGTTTCACTTGGGGGTTCTTTCAGGCTATCCCCATCTATGTACCAATTTTACTAATGGTAAACACATCTCTTTCATTAATGATGATGATTGTAACATTTCCAATTTCAGATACTGTACATACAGTGCAAAATGTGTGATGCAGGATGAGGCAGGAGAATTGTAATCACCAAAAATGAAAGTTGAAAGCCATCCAAGGGCCTGAAGAATCAAGAAAAAAAAATGGAATGAATCTCCATGATCTTATGCATCTTTTGCCTCCCCAAAACATGATCATCTGCCAAAAATGGTGCTGCTACACACAATTGAAGAATGTGGATTTCCTAGTCCTCTTAGGCCGCGGGCTTGACTTAGTCCCTCCTTCAGAGGGTCCCTGCGGGACAGTGTCCCCCCCTCCAATAGGGGGACTTGGTTAAGTTAGGGTACCAAGCCGGAAGAACTGTTTTATTGTGTTAATCCTGATTGAAGAGAGACCATTGCGCAGACAGTGAGCCATGATACAGGTGTGAGTGATGAGGTTTGAGTGGTGTGGTGAGGTTTGTGGTCAGGGTGAATGCCCCCTGGTTTCCTGTTGACAAAGAGTCCTTGATTGGGTGCACATACATAACACACCTGTTTAGTTTGATGACAGTACATCCGTTTCATTCCTGCCCTGAAACTAGCATGTGAAATGGACAACACACTCAAAAAAAAATTGAAAAAGGGACGAGGGACAGGAGGTGAATTGCTTTTAGAATTGAACCACCAGATTCAGAAGAGAGAGAGAGAGAAAGAAGACGCTTTGGGTCGATCGAGTGAGGTTTTGAGGAGATGAGAAACGGCGAATCAAAGACAAGCTTGATCAAGAGAAAGCGAGAGAGAAACAGCAGAGAGCAAGAGAGGATGTATCAAGTGGAAAACACAAGCAGCAAAAGAAAAAAAAAAGAGAAAGAAAGATAAAGCAACACCAAAAAAAAAGAAAAAAGTAAACAATCATGACAAGGAGAAAGTGTCATTTTTGATTTTTCTTCACACCAGCAGCAGTCAATTTGACAGATTGATTGGTGTTCCCGTCGGAGGATTGGTTGTCAATGTTTTTGGAGGACTGTTTGTCGTTGTCTTCCTTACTGGGTTCCGGCTTCTTATCATCATCTTCTCCATCTTCCCATCGCCAGTATTCCTGTGTGTCTCCATTGATGATGGCTAACAGAAGTACACTTCCTGTGCATGCTGGACTCAAATACCTTTGTTTTTTGTTCACAGAAGAAAGAAGAAACGTTTCAGTAAGATAGTTGGTTCAACCCAGCGTAGAAAACATAGGGAGACTAACAGAAGAGCAGGTTGGGCGGCCTTGAAGATGTGCATGACGGCCATGGTGATTCCCAGACCGAGGACATAAGATGCCATGCAGGTGTAGAAGTATGGTCTGGGGAAATTGCCGGCAGGAGAAAGGACGGTCTTCTTGTTGATCGGTCCTTTGGTCGACTTGACGATCTTGTCATACGCTTTCTTGTAATCATATCGCAGCGAAAGTGCGACGAAAATTCCTGGCATAACGATATCACCTGTAAGAAAAAGCATGTCAGTTGATTGGTGGCTTCATATATGAGGTCGTCAAAGAAGCGGTGTTTTCGTTCTCTAGGAATCAATCTCAAATTGAGAGACTAACCTAATCCTAACATGGCAAATTTCTTGTCGTCGGTTGACAGGAAATCAGCGATCGCACGAGGCCAAGTGATCTTGATGGGAGCGGCTAATTGACAAAGGCAAAATCATAAATGATAAACTGACCGTATCGTATTGAGTGTGGAAAAAAGCAAAAAAACAAAAAAATGTAGAATACGCACCAAAGTTCTTTGCGACGCTGACCATCACACTTTCACCGAAAGCATGGGAAGATCCAAAGACCCACCAGACATCATAGCTGGAACGAGAGAGGTAGAGAGAGAACAGGTTGGCGGCGATCGATCAATGATCGATCGGGCGGTTTGTTGTATGAAGAATGAGAAATGACTGACATGAACAGACCACCGAGTAGAACGGTCCCAGTCTTGAAGCTATCGAGCTTCAAGAGGGTGATAGCGTTGAAGGCGAAGCTGAGGGCGAACAAGTTTGACAGCATCCACTGTTTGGTGTACCATTGGATGGCGGAGAGGATGACGGAGCCGAGGATGTAGCCGATGTGCCAGTTGGTGAACCGGAGACTGAACAAGACGTCCGCCGTATTCCGGGTCAATCTGAACTTGTATTTCGTCTGGTTCGACCAGGTCGTCGGTCCTAGGGTCGTTTTGGTGATCGTCACTAGCATTGTCGCTAGTGCTCCTGAGCCCATCAAGGAGAAATATCCCGCAAAGAGCGCATTGATCAGGTCCTTATTCAGATACTTGAAGACCAGGTATAGTCCTAATAATGCTCCCGAACCCCTGTTTGGTTGATTTTTATTTTCCCAGAGATGGGTCAGTCATAGCTTAGATTGACTGACTGTATGTGAAAACTGTCGGATGTGATAGCAATTCACTCACATCACTGGAAACCAATAAGCGTCCTCACTGGTCATCCGTTCGACAGCTTCTTCTTCCTCATCGGATGATTCGGTCGTATCGGCCGAGTTCTTTCCCGACTTTTTCTTCAACACGATTGGTGCCTAAAAATAACAAAACAATGATGATCTCGATTAATTGAGTCCGTCATCGCAAAGAAGAAAAAAAGAAAGTCGTTCTGGGGGTTGGGTGGTGTGTTTTTTTACTGACTTTGACTGATGCATGTGAGGCATACCAGATCGGGATAACAGCAGAAATCTGTGAGGGTATTGGGGAAAATTTAGATCGTCAGAAAAGGATGTTGGTTAAGTTGTTTTAGTACTAGAGAAAGAAAGAAGTACTGACCCCTAAGGCAAAATATGCCTGAATGATTGGGTCCATCGGGGAGCGGCGAGCTCAGAGGGACTGTTAGTGCAGGGTGGAGTGTGGTGGTAGTACTTGGGATAAGTCTGAGACTGTTGATGGTGGTAGGCAGACTGAAGAGTGTTTTTAAATATCTCCAGATTTCTTGACGACGTGGAGCAACTTCGACGTGTCAAGTTCCAAGCCTGTGTAGGCTTGTTGTATGTATCTCCTCTGGATACAGTCTTCATACCAACGAGCTGTTGTTGCAGTCTCCATTTTATGTACTGATTCCAAGACTCATGAGAAAAAACATTAACATCTCTGGAAACCAGCTAGCCTTGGAGTTGAGTCATGTTTCCGATTGGACTACGGACTGCCCTCTGTCCACTCCTCAAACCTCATAGAGTGTTGGGTTTGAATATCTGCTTGCAAATGGCCTTCTGAGGGGGTACACAACAAGAAACAACGGCAATCTCCTTGAGCAATTCATGGTTTTTATTTTTTCAAGTCCTTTGAGGACCATGAGCAAATGATGTTTGCTTCTTCACTATTTTATGTAACTACAGTGCCCCTCACCACCTCTCCACCACCCCCTCCCAAGGTGTTCCAAAGTTTTGGGTTGGAAAATTTGAAAAATTTTGAAATCCCAGGGGGTTTCTTGGGGGTCTTGGATGCTTCTGTACAAAAAAAGACATGAAAAAGCATCTTGCACTCCAATTTTGAAACCAGAATCAGTATATTCAATGGTTATTGGAAAAGATTCTTGCTCCCAGAAGCTCCAAAGAAAGAGGGAAGCACTTTTACCAGTTAAATCGACAAAGAAGATTCAATCAATCAATCCATCTTGATGGAGGATGGGGGAACTGCATGTACTTGGGTATGTGTTTACAATTCACACGCTTTTCAAATGCATATTGTGCCCCCTATATACATATTATGGCTTTATATATACATATTATGGCTTCCTCAAGCCATACTGTGTGGTCCAGGGTGGGCTTGAACATGGTGTTCCAAATTTTGATGCTCAAAAATTGAAAACTTTTTTTGGAGGTACAGTAGCAAGCTGTGGGTGACAAATTCAATTTGCCCTACTCCTGTAGGCCTCAGAAATGTGTAGTACATGCCCATTGAGGCACATGGGTTGGTGTACTCAGACTTCAAAGTTGAACTTTTTTTTTGCAGGCGCAGGGTGGTGGAGAGGTGGTGAGGGGCACTGTACCTAAAGCTCAGTACTGCCCTTTGCCTCTAAAGAAGATAGCAATTGAGAAAGGGAAATTCCCAAAAAAAAACTTTCACACATACCTCTTTTGTATCTATGTACATATCACCAGCCATGACCATGCATGATAATCCTGTCTGAGGCTGTCTTGCAAGAAATGAGCATCACTGATTAGGCCTCAGTGGCATGTGGTGCATAATCACTTCAAAAGTTAATTCTTCATAATGTCCTTTTTCTCAGAAATTCCATAGCACCCACAGTAATGACCATCATCATCATCACCAACAACAAAATTCTGAGCCTACATATAGGTAATATGAGCATTCCAATAACACACCCATCTCTCCCACCCAGTTTGCAGTCTTTGTCTATGAAGAATACCAAACGGATCCAACCATTTTACATAATTGAAGTCCACAACATTGTATGTATGCCCAGTGAGTGGCCCTGGCCCATGATAATCACCATTGGTTCATTTGAGAAGCTGTGATTCGGCCTCCCTCTAATGGTTAGTACGATTGCAACTACTGTTTCAGGACTCCATGAGTCCAACAAGTCACAACATCAGCGGTGGGCCGCTACGCTACACTACGCTACGGGCCCATGTAGCGTTAGCGTAGCGGCGCCATTTTTTTTTCACGTAGTGTTAGCGCGCCGCTAAGGCCGCTGCGCTACGCTAATTCGTAGCGGCGCTAACACCTACCAATTTTTGGTGTAGTGTTAGCACGCCTCTGGAGCCGCTACGCTACAGCGTTTTTAGCGGCAAAAAACGCCTAAAAACCGCTAAAAACTGCTGTAGCGCAGCATAGCGGGCGGTTTTTTGCGCCCTGCGCGCGTAGCGTTAGCACAGATAGGGGGAATCGCGCTAACGCTACGCTAAACGCTAGTGCAAGTTTTTTCCCCATTTGCGTAGCGTTAGCGCGGAAAATGAGAAAAGCGCTAACGCTACGCTAAATTGTAGCGGTTTTTTGCTACACTACGCTACGCTAACACTACGGTTAGCGTAGCTGGCCCACCGTTGACAACATGGGACTTTGTTACCTTGCATTTTTCTTTCACCAAGGTACATACTACAGTAGGTGGAAAATTTGTTTTGGCTGCTTGTTTTGGATTCCAGGACCAGAGCTTCAAAGCACAGAATTTGAGTTGTGAGACTTGGAAAATGTGTGATTTTCCTTTTTTTTTCTATTTTTTTTTTGGTGTTCAAAAGCTTTGATATTCATTTTGGGGGAGTGGGTATCAGCCACAGAGCACCTTTCACAGTACGTGAAATGTGCCTAGTAGCTGCAAATAATAATAATTAATTGAATACAAGAAAATATTATACACTGTTGTTAAAATAATAAATAAATATATATATATTTACATTCAATCTTCATTCATAAATTATATTTAATAATTCAATAGTTAACTGTGAAATCCCCTTGAGTATTGTACATATAATATCACTGAGATTTCACAGAAATATCAGTAGAATAAGGTATTAAAATAATATTTATTCTTATACATTATGTACATATCTTATAAGCCATAAACTAAGGGAGTTGATCAACCAACTCCCAAATATTGGAGAGTCGACTCCCAAACCCGGGTTTCCCCGAAATTTGGGAGTCGATTCCCCAAACCCGTCGGTGGGTTTGGGAGTCGGCCCTCAAAAAAAATTAAATAAAAACAAAGAAAAACCCTGGAGGGGTTGGGTGTTGATGCCCCAAAACCAAGTGGTTTTGGGGGGTCGGTGATAAAAAAAAATAAAACCAGCGGCCGGGAGAATTCCTCCCGGCGAGAGTGCTTCATGGACGGCCGAGAGAATTTCTCTTGGGCGTTAAGGGTATAACCCTCAACGGCCGAAAGAAACCTCTCAGCCGTTGAGGGTGTACACCTCAACGGCCGAGAGAAATCCTCTCGGCCATTGAGGGTGTACACTTCGACGACCAAGAGGTACACGCCGTTGAGGGTACACCCTCAACGCCCGGGAGGAATCCTCTTGGCCGTTGAGAGTGTATACCCTCAACGACCAGGAGGTACACTCTTGGCCGTTGAGGGTATACATTTTCAATGACCGAGAGGAAACCCTCTCGGTCGTACATGTTTCCTCTTGGTCGTTGAGGTGTACACCCTCGATGGCCGAGAGGTTTCACTTGGCCATCGAGGGCTACACCTCCGACGGCCAAGAGGTTTCTCTTGGCCGTTGAGGTCTCAACGGCCGAGAAGTTTCCCTCGGCCGTTGGGGTGTACACCCTTGACCTCCGAGAGAAACCCTCTCGGCCGTTGAGGGTTATACTCAACGGCCGAGAGGGTTTTCTCTCAGCCGTCAAGAGCACTCTCCGAGGCCGGGAGGAATCCTCCCGGCCGTCGGGGTTTTTTTTTTTTGGTTCTGGCATTGACACCCAAACCCCGCCGGGGGTTTTCATTTTTTTTTATTTAAATTTTTTTGGAGGCCGACTCCCAAACCCACTGACGGGTTTGGGGAATCGACTCCCAAATTTCGGGGAAACCCGGGTTTGGGAGTCGACTCTCCGATATTTGGGAGTCGGTTGATCAACTCCCTAAACTAATTACATATGTATAAGAATCAGCTAGTAGAAGTGTGTGATGGATGAGGAATAAGCTATATAAACTTGTCTGAAGCTTACCCATCCTTGATCAAATCATCAGGGCATCAGATTGCATCATAAACCTCTTGTATGGCATCATCAGGACCCTTTTGTGCTCTAATTCAAAGCTTGCACCATTCAAAGTGGCCTACACAGGAAATGAGCCCAATTTCTACATGTAGGACTGAATTATGCATGAAGAACATGCATTTCTCATGATCACAAGCTTGCATAAGCAGAGTTACACATATGCAACTAACTCTACAATTGCACAGTAACTGCAGCCTTTTCAATTACGTGAGAAATAGGCCACAAAACTCAATTATGCATGTATGATCTCATGTCCTAGGACCTTCCACCCATCCATAGCACTGCACAGCTACAGCTCCCATCCTTACACAAAATTTTAGAGCTGCTAAGAAGCTACCTAGTCCCCTGAGGGCCTCTCCTCTTCCCCTGAGCCCCCTGTAGAATATTCAAGGAGCCCTGATTCCTACCTTTCCCCCCCCCCCCAGGAAATTCTAGTAGCATCAAAACAACACTTGTACTGTGATTATTAGTGATTCAACCCACCAATAACATTACAATCCAGCTACCTTAGAACTAAATAGTTTTACTTTGCTCAGATTCAAGGCATTTCTACTTATCTCTATTGCATAAAGAGTTATCCCCCAGGTTAAACAATTCTGGTCCTTAAGTGTTGATACACTTATTAATCTGAATTGTTGTTAAAAGACTTATCAAAAGTGAGTTGAAGAAGTCCTCACCTTGGAAGCCTATTGATCCGGATGCCCAATTGAATAATTGGATGGGTCAGCAGTAGAAGTACCATTCCTTACTGACTCCTCCCTGTTCTTTACAGGTTGAGAAATTCAACCACAAATAAATCTTCTTCATTACTCTTCTTGCCAACACTCAGAGCACAACCCTTGCATGTTAGTAGCATCGAGGCTGACAGTGGGAGTACTGAGAGAGAGAAATAAAGAGAGGAACATGTGAAGCATGATTATAAATGAAGAAAATGGAGCCAAAAAAAGGGTGAGCCGGGTTGGTTGTCCACCAGATTGGAGTCAAAGCAGTAAGTTCCAGTACTTTATATTATAATGTAGGCTGGTGAATTAAAGATGCTGGTCAGATTTTAAGCAAAACCACTCAAGTAATCCCAATATTTCTATCCATATATATATACAGTCAAACCTGTCTAACTGCATACCTGTATAAGGGCATAAACCCCCATACTACATACTCATTTGAGTCCACCAAATTTTCATTTTTGCCCTTAGCCTACCCTTGTAACCACATAACAAATTCTTTCCACCAAGGGGTATGTGGTTAGAGAGGTTTGACTGTACCATTATTCTCTCCCTACCATCCTTTGACCACCCATCCACTTCATATTTGTGATTTGAAATCCAATCATCACCAAATGGGCCCCTCTGCTTTTTACCCACAAAGCGTTAGTTTGGCAGTTTTTATTTTTTATTTTTTTTTGTGTGCAGAAATGGTGTAGTTAGAGATGGCCTGCAGGTACCTGGCTGATTTTCATGGAACCTGCTTCAAATTGCTTGTGATAAAACAAAATCAATATGTAACACTTTCATCTCATCAAGTACTACTGGGGGTTGAGGAAGACACTAAACTAACTGTCTAGGAATGCACCTGTACAAGTACAGATGCCAAATACCGGCGCACAGGTACCTGTCAACAGGTATAGTTGGCAGGTACCTGTGCACAGGTATTTGGCATCTGTACTCTCACCTTTGCCAGGCCATGCAGTTAGGTGAGTTTCTTACTCAAGTCCAAGTGTTATCTGATGATATGAAAGTGTTACATATTGGTGCTGTTTGATCAGAAGCACTTTGAAGCAGGTTCCATGAAAATGATCCAGGTACCTGCGGGCCATCTCTATAGTGATAGGCAAAGGTCATTGATGTGGCCAACAGCAGGGCCTGAGCGCATTGTAGCGGGCACTTTCTTTTGGAGGGAGGGGGGGGGGGCTTCAGTGGTACTAGCAGGGGGGTTCAAAATAGCTTCTTGCCCAAAGCTCTCTTAGTTCTCCCAAGCAAGGGCCTGGATGGCCTAGCAGTAACCATCACCCATGGAAGATTGGTGTCTCCCCTGCAACGACATAGTATAATCACTTCAAAGAGAGTGATGAGTCCAGTGCTCAAATCCCGGCAGACCCATCCCCTGGCCGCTACCACTTCTGATCTTGGACAACTACACACTACCCCATTTTCACTTTCAAACCCTTTATAAAAACCCCCACTTTCACTTTCAACACCCGTTACCCAATTTGAATCAGCCTGAAATATGGTTGTAACCAATCTGTCCCCCAACAATAAAATCCTTAAGTAGATGAAACTGTCTCTTACACTCCTGCATCCTCTACAGAACTTGCCCCCATAGAGCAAGTACAGGAAAAAAACATGCTACAAACATACAAAGCTTGTAGGTAGAAATGATGATATTCATAGTGCGCAATGCCAAAGGCCAAACTTACACTTTAAAAACAAAGCAGCCACAGCACTGTTGATAATGGGTGCAAGAAGCAAAAAAAAACTATTGTGAACCCCCCCCCCCCTACTAGTGTCAGTGCAGACATGGCAGAATTCCGCTACACTACACTGAATTCCAGCCAAATTCTGCTGCGTTACTCTGCACTAAACACTGCAGTTAATGTACCTGACCCATGATTGCTGCCCCCATCCATTCATGTTGATCAGCAGTATTGATAGACCATATTCCTAATTGAGGAAGACATATAGACCGACCATGCCCTGCCCACAAAATTATAAAAGGACACACTGTCACAGGGCCTATGTAGAGATGGTCTACAGGTATCCATTGCAGATACCCGTTATCTCCCGTTATCTGCTGGCGGGTATTATCCCCTGATGTTCCAGCGGATACCTGGGTATCTCCACAGATACCTGAGGCCAATGGCCGGCTGGAAGGGCTTCCTTCAGAGGTACATGCTTGCCAGCTGGAAGGGTTTCCTTCCAGATGGCGAGAGGTACATGCTTGCCGGCTGGAAGGGTTTCCTTCCAGATGGCGAGAGGTACATGCTTGCCGGCTGGAAGGGTTTCCTTCCAGACGGCAAGGTACATGTACCTCCCCAACTGCCGACTGGAAGGGTTTCTCCTCGAGAGGTACATGCACCTTGCCAGCAAGATACATGTACCTTGCGACTGCCAACTGGAAGGGTTTCTTCCAGCTGGCAAGGTACATCCTCGTCAACCTTTTAAAGGGTGGGTATCCAAAGATACCCGCCAGCGCCAGCCAGATGCAGGTTTGGATGGCAATTTCCTCAGAAAAAGCAGCCGCTCTGAGAGAATATTTTCATGATTATGTGGGCTCAAAAAGGGGGCTACAAAACTCTGTAAATACAAAGAAAAACCCTTTTTTGTTGCTCAAACATTCTTCAAAACCCAGGGCCCCATTATCCCATCTGCATTAACTGTATTGACCACCCCCACCATGATCCCAATCACCACCACCACCAACAATAAGGAAAAAACTAATGCTCCATATGATCATTGTGATCCCCCAAAACCCTGACCTGAAAGACAAGACAAAACCAAAAAGGAGCAAAACATGAGGTGGATCATCACACTCATTCATTCATTGATTCATTCTACCTTAAATCTGATTCAGATTCATCATCAACCCAAACCACCCACCCAGGACAAAGCCAAAGCCAAAGCCAAAAGAAAACCAAAAAAAGAGACGGGGAGAGAAAGCGATGATGTCGTTCTGTTGGAGGCTGGTTGGATGATTCAGTTGTTTCGTTTTTCGTTTTTCGTTTTTTTTTCGTAAACAAAAAACATGTACTCATAAAAGAGAAAAGAAAAGGATGGGATGGGATGAAGGGAAATCTCTAAACCATTCAAAAAAAAAAAAAAAAAAAAGAGAGAGAGGAAACGAGAGAGTTTATAACCAACCTCTACCTGTACCAAAAAAAGAAAGGGAAAGAAAAACGACAATGAAGCGATCAGATGAGAAAGAGAGAGAGAAAGAGAGATTGTTTTTAAGAAGAAGAAGAAGAGTTCGATTGAGGGAAGGTATTGATTTAGGGCTCGGTATCAGAATCAGAGCCGGCGACTTCTTCGACCGACGGACAAGTACAAAAGATATTCATGTCGCCTATGATACCCGTCCCCGAAAAGGAAAAAACAGAAAATCAATAAATTGAAGCAAAAAAAAAAAAAAAACAGAAAGGAGAAAAGGAAGGAAGGAGAGGAACGGACCGTAGGTATCATCGACTCGAGCCACGGACGGCCAGAACTTATTTTTCTTAAGGTTGTCGACGGGGTAGACGGCGTTCTGGAGGATCTGGGCGGGAGAGGCAGAGTGCTCGTCGTTCTCAGAAGAAGGGAGCTGCAGTCGGCCCTTAGGATCGGCCGCCAACCGGAAGGCGGAATCGAGATCGAAGGGGGCGTTCTTGATCAGAAAGCGGCCCTGTTCAGTCGCCAATTCCTTTCGGATCGAGATCAATGCATCCAGGAATCGGTCGAGTTCCGCCTTCGACTCTGACTCCGTTGGCTCGATTAACATCGACGTCGATAATGGCCACGAACAGGTCGGCGGATGGAAGCCATAGTCTATCAACCTCTTGGCTATGTCCATCACTTTGATCCCATACTTCTTCTCAAACTCCGAGAAATCAATCCTACAAAATATCAATCAAACAAAAAGAAATCGTTAGCTTCAAAGGAGAGGAACTAATAGAGAAAAAAAAAAAAGGAAATGTTACGGACAAGAATTCATGAGCACAAAGTCCGGATTCGTTCTTGAACTTAAGATCGAAATGATTTTTAAGCGAATTGGCCAAATAATTAGCATTAAGGAGCGCGATTTTAGAGCTCAAAGTAAGGCCTTGACCTCCGAGCAATTTGATATAAGACCAGGAGATAGAGAGGATAGAAGCGGAACCCCAAGGGGCGGAGGAGACGGGATGGATCGCCTTGTCGGACTTAGATCCGCAGTTATACTTATCGATCCTGCCGTCAATCATCGGGTGACTGGGCAAAAACTCTGCCAGATGTTCGGCCACTCCGATCGGTCCTACCCCTGGTCCGCCGCCTCCATGTGGAATTCCAAAGGTCTTGTGAAGGTTCAAATGACACACATCTGCCCCACATTTTACCGGATTGGTGAGCCCGATCTGCGCGTTCATATTGGCGCCTGTCCAACCATCCCAAACCGTCAGTTAAGCTCCTTACCTACCTCGGGCATGCGAGAGAAAAGACGGATACCATCTAAATAGACTTGTCCTCCATGACGATGGATGATCTCGCAAGCCTCCTGGACTTGCGACTCGAAGACGCCATAGGTCGACGGATAGGTGATCATGATTGCTGCCAACTGCTCCTGGTGCTTGGCCGCCTTGGCCGACAAATCCTCCAGATCCAACGAGCCGTCTTTCATCGTCTTGACCGGAATCACTTTCATCCCTGCCATCACTGCCGAGGCCGGGTTGGTCCCATGCTAATCCCATATCGATCATTCAATCAAAACCGCCACAATTTTCTTTGAGAAGGTTGGGGTTGGTTGACTTACAGCACTAACGGGTACTAAACATACGTCCCGTTTCTGGTCCCCTCGCGAATGATGGTAGGCTCGGATGACCGAAAGCCCGGCATATTCACCTTGAGCACCAGAGTTGGGCTGCAAACTGATCGCAGGAAAGCCGGTGATCTTACTCAAATCGGCCTCCAATTCCTTAAGAAGAAGAAAAAAACGCCACATTTGGGGATGAGTTTCTATAAGAATGATAGTTTTTTTTTTATAAAAAAAAAAGAGAGAGACATACTTTGATCATTTCCATGTATCCAGCGGCTTGTTCTTGAGGGGCGAACGGGTGGATCGAGCTAAACGCTTTCCAACTGAGCGGGCCCATGGAGGTAGCCGAGTTGAGTTTCATGGTGCATGATCCGAGGGGGATCATTGCGTCGACGAGGGACAGATCTTTCTTCTGGAGGGAGGCGATGTAGCGCATGAGTTCGGTCTCCGAATGGTATCTGTTGAAGACGGGGTGTTCGAGGAAGTTAGTCTGACGAGAGAGACTGGTAGGGATCTTGTTTGAGGCTGGTAGAGGTTCTGATGATGATGATGATGATGATGAAGGGTCGGTTGATGAGACGAGAGATTGGTCGGATAGTGGCCCGATAACCGGTTTGAGATTGAGACTGTCGGCCAGGGCTAGGAGAGACTGTTCGGAGTAGTGATGATCGGGGCCGAGACGACGGTTGAACTTGAGTTCGTTGAGGTCGACGAAGAGGTTCAGGAGGGCGAGGATATCATTGAGCGAGTGGGTCTCATCGAGCGTGATGCCGACATGGAAGTCATCGGCATGGCGGAGGTTGATGTGTCGGCTCTTGGCCTCTGAGAGGACGACGGAGATGGCGAGGCCGGAGGTGTTGACGGTGAGTCGATCGAAGTAGGTCTGATTGACGACCTCGTAGCTCAACTTCTCGAGCCCTGCTGCAAGCACCTGGGTCATGCCGTGGACCCGATCGGCTATCCGACGGAGGCCGTGGGGGCCGTGGTAGACCGCATAGAATGCGGCCAGGTTGGCGAGGAGTGCCTGAGCGGTACAGACGTTGGAGAGTGCCTTATCTCTTCTGATATGTTGTTCTCGTGTTTGGAGTGCTAATCTGTAGGCTGGTTTCCCGTTGGAGTCCTTGGAGAGACCGATGAGTCGACCTGGGATCTTACGAGTTAAGGAATCCTTGACGGCAAAGAAGGCAGCGTGTGGGCCACCATAGCCTAGAGGGACACCGAAGCGGGCACTATTACCGAGTGCGATATCGGCACCCCATTCTCCGGGTGGTTTGATCTTGGTGAGGGCTAGGAGATCGGTAGCACAGCTGAGGAGTGCGCCATTCTTGTGTACGGCGTCGGCGAGCCTGGACCAATCGGTGAGATCACCACGTCGCTCGGGATATTGGACGAGGACTCCGAAGCAGTCTGAGGGGAGCGCTTCCTGGCCGTCCATATACTTCTTGATGTTGGTGACGATGAGCTTGATTCCGGCGGGGGCGGCGCGGTTACGGAGGACGGCGATTGACTGGGGGAAGACGGATCGATCGACGATGAAGGTCTTGCGGCTCTGGGACTTTGACTGGTTGTAGGAGAGCGTCATGGCCTCGGCTGCAGCGGTTGCCTCGTCGAGTAGGGAAGCATTGGCGATGGGCAGTCCGGTGAGAGAGCTGATCATGGTTTGGAAGTTGATCAGGGACTCGAGTCTTCCCTGGGAGATCTCGGCTTGGTAGGGCGTATAGCTGGTGTACCAGGCGGGGTTTTGGAGTACCTAGAGAGGTGGATGGATGAGTTTTTCTTATTTTTATTGTGGTGAGGCTGTTGATTGCTTACGTTTGTTGCGATGGGTGGTGGCATGAGTGCGTTTGAGTAACCCATTCCGATGAAGTTTTTTGCGATGGTATTCTTGTGGGCCAGTTGGAGTGCTCGTTGGGTGAGTTCGGATTCGGAGTGTGGTTTGATGTCCTGGTTTGAGAGTGGGCTGACTCTGATTGATTGGGGGATGACCTTGTCGATGAACTGGTCGAGTGAGCTGAAGCCGAGTGAGTTGAGCATGAGTTTGGTGTCATGGTCTCGTGGTCCGAGGTGTCTGGATGGGAAGCTGTCTAGTGGGGTGAAGACTGAGTGTGTGCTGAATGGCCTGTGTTTGCTGAGGATCCTTCTCGACAACATCTTTGCTTTGGCTTGTTGGTTTTCCTTTGGATAGGTGGGTGGGTGGGTAGGTGCAAGCTCTCTCTTTTTATATTTTTTCTTTTCAAATTGAATAATTGAATATTTTCCGATTCGCCGGGATGTGGGATGTGGGAGTTGTTTATCGCCGAGGAAGTTGGTAATTGTTTCAGCCAAACCGATCGGATCCAATTGAACTAATACAATACTCCCTTCTTCGAGGCTTTGGCTGCAGATGGCTTTCTGTTCAGTTGAGATAAGTTATCGCCGCATGATGGTATTCAGTCAACAAGTGTGAGCTGATTCGATCAGCCATCCCAAGAGATAAGATAATTACTTCCACAACTGCGGAAACATGATGGAGTGTGATCAAAAGAGCAGCTCTTGACAACTCTCTGCTATCTGACTATTGGGCAGCTTTCTCAAACCGGCTACGAATCCCCTACGGGGGGGGAGGAGACTTGCTGCACTTTCTGGTTTGACGATTGAAGCCTGCCCGGTTCGAGCTCTCGGTGCTTGTCGCTGTTGATAGTCCGGAAGAGTGAACCGACACATTGACATCAGTAGTCTTGTAAAAAAGAAAAACAAAGGTCGATCGATCGGAAGTCCGCACTGCTGCCAACCAAAAGCCACACACTGCTCCCAAGTAATTTGTTGGACGCCCAACGAGTTCATGAATCTTCGAAATCAAACTTGTATTTACCATGGTATAAGAAAAACCAAAAAAAAAAGAACAAATCAAACAAATGGAAGCCTCTTAAACAAGTGAACGAGACTACAACATGGACGACAACAGCTTTGTTTGGTAACTGAAAGCTATTTACAAGAGGTTTCTTCAACTTGATATCGACCGATTAATTTTTTTTTTCTATTTTACAATCTTTCATCTTCACATTAAATCCGTAACGGTTTTGACAGTACGTGCAAAGACAATCATGATTCATAAACATTAAACTTGTTCGTAGAAAGAAGAAAAAGACATCAAAGGTAAACTTAATAAAATTATGATCGAGCTAGTTTTTTTTTTTTTTTTGAAAGAGGAGAGGGGCTGAGACGAGTTGACAGCTTCGGCTAGAGTTGGGCGATCAGTCGACCCTGATCAAGTTGAATCGAGGAGGAATGTTAGCTACTGAAGAGGCAGAGTGCTGTGGAAAGGGGATCAACTCACTCTTCCATGGCAGAGGCAGCAGTGGCTTCTAGGGGTGGGACCTCTGCGTCGGCGTTGGCGCCAGAGGTGGAGGCTTCGGGCTCCTCCTGGACATCAATGGAAAGTCCAAGAGATACCATTCGGTGGATACGCTCGGCGAAATGCTGAGGAGCATCAAGCGTGAATCCCGAAGTCAAGAGGGCAGTCTCGAACAACAAGACACTCAGGTCACGGACAGTCTGGTAGGGGGTCAGACGGGTCAGTAAGGTCAGACAATTGAACGGGATGGCTCGGTGGTGCTTACCTTGTCAGAGGAATCTTCTTGGACTTTGTTCTTGAGCTCCCGAATGATCGGGTTCTGAGGGTTGATCTCGAGAGTCTTTTTGCTCATCATGTAACTCGACATCCCCGAGTCACGCAGAGCTTGAGCCTTCATGATTCGTTCCATGTTGGAACTCCAGCCGAATTGACCGGTCACAAGCACACAGGGGGATTGGTTGATTCGGTTGGAAACCTGAACCTTCTCCACCTTGTCGCCAAGGTTCTCCTTCATGACCTTGCAGAGGTTTTCGTAAGCCTTGGACTCTTCTTCGTGAGCCTTCTTCTCTTCCTCGGATTCCTCAAGCTCGAGGCCCTCCTTGGAGACACACACCAACTTCTTGCCTTCAAACTCTTTCAGTTGAGTGACGGCTGGAGTACGGATACCATTTGTGTTAGCTCAGTCGAAGGACATCGAGAAGGAGTAAGGGGCAAGATAACACACCATATTCGTCGATGGGGTCAACCATGAGCAAGACTTCGAAAGACTTCTTCTTGAAGACTTCGAGGAAGGGTGAGTCTCGGACGGCACTGAGGGATTCACCGGTGAGGTAGTAGATGTTTTTCTGGATTTCGGGCATTCGGGTAATGTAATCTAAGCAAAGAAGACGCATCAGCTGGAGCTAGAGGAAGCGACTGAATATGGAAGCACTGACCTTTGAAGCTGGTCAATTCATCGGTGCTCTTGGTCGAGTGGAATCGCAAGAATTCAGCCAACTTGGATCGGTTTTGCTGATCTTCGTGGATACCGAGCTTGAGGTTCTTGCCGAAAGCTTCGTAGAACTTGTTGAAGTTGTCCTTGTCCTCAGAGATCTCGGTGAACATGTCAAGAACCTTCTTGACCAAGTTCTTGCGGATAACTTTGAGGATCTTGTTCTGTTGAAGAGTTTCTCGAGAAATGTTGAGGGGGAGATCTTCCGAATCAACAATACCTTTGACAAAGTTTAGGTATTCGGGAATAAGATCTTCACAGTCATCCTGTAAGACAACAAGTTACGGTCAGACTGTGAAAAATTGCGGACAGGGTAGAACAACAGATAACCTACCATGATGAAAACCCGGCGGACATACAACTTGATGTTGTTGCGTTTCTTTTTGCTTTCGAAGAGATCGAAGGGTGCACGCTTGGGGACGAACAGAATGGCCTTGAATTCCAGTTGTCCCTCAACAGAGAAGTGCTTGACGGCGAGATGGTCTTCCCAGTCATTGGTGAGCGACTTGTAGAAGGAGGCGTATTCGTCCTGGGGAATGTCTTGAGGGTTACGCGTCCAGATGGGCTTAGTCTTGTTAAGCTCTTCTTGTTTGGTGCTCTGAAGAAGTGGGCCAAGATCGTCAAGTCAGTGTGGGCAGAAGTAATTGACCATGTCCGAGTAAATGACCAACCTTTTCGGTGATTTTCTTGGTCTTTTTCTTCTTCTCCGAGTCTTCGTCGAGTTCCTCGACCTTGGCTTCCTTGGAGTCGTCGTCCTCAGTCTTGATCTCCTCGTCAGCTTCATCATCATCGACCTCCTTCTCTTCCTCGGTGGTGACGACAAGCTGGATGGGGTATGAGATGAATTCGGAGTGCTTCTTGACAATGTCTTTGATGCGCTTCTCCTCGATGTATTCCAATTGATCTTCCTTGAGGTGAAGGATCATGCGAGTTCCTCGGCCAAGAGTAGGACCGGCAGGGTCAGGGGTGATGGTGAAGGTACCACCAGCAGCAGATTCCCCTAAAAAATATTACAACGGTGGCGGAAATGTAATCAGCGGAGTTGCGCGGATTGAAATTGACAAAAAAGGAAGCTTACAGATGTATTGCTCATCATCGTTGTGCTTGGTGATGACAGTAACCCGGTCGGCCACGAGGTAGGCAGAGTAGAAACCGACACCAAATTGACCAATCATGCTGCAGACACAAAGCAAACTTTAACGATGGGCAGGGGCAAAATTCATGGGCAGATATAAAATGAAGTGACACAAACCTGATGTCAGCACCGCTGGACAGGGCCTCCATGAAAGCCTTGGTGCCGGACTTGGCAATGGTACCCAAGTTGTTCACGAGGTCGGCCTTAGTCATACCAATTCTACAAGGAGGAGAGCAAGTCAGAACATTGCTTCTATCGAGTCAGGGGGTCGGAAAAACATACCCAGAGTCTTGAATGGTCAAGGTTTTGTTTTCCTCTGTGCAAAGGGAAGGAAGGTGATTGCAGGCGGATTAGTGAAAGTCCGACGTCAGGAGAAGCTCATGAAGAAGGAGTGCTTACTGTCGGGGGTGATGCGCACAAAGAACTCCTTCTCGCTGTCAAGCTGGGAAGGGTCGGTGAGGGAAGCATATCGGATTTTGTCAAGGGCATCGGACGAGTTGGAAATCAATTCACGAAGAAAGATTTCTTTGTTGGAGTAGAAGGTGTTAATGATAAGGTCAAGGAGCTGTGGGGAAGCAACGGGAGCAATTCAGCATTGGTTGAGCCGCAAGCAAGATGGAGGAAACTCAGGAGATAGGCACTACTGAGGTGTAAGGAAAGAAGAACCAACTTGAGTGATTTCAGCTTGGAAGCCGAAGGTCTCTGTTTGTCCTGACATGGCTAAAAGGTTCTACGGTGGTTTTTTGTAGTGGGTTAGGGGGGGATGCTACAGTTCTTTACGAGCTTGTGATGGAGCGCGTGTTGGTTGGTTGATACAATTTTGTCCAGTTGATGGTGCTTGGCGGGCATGCTGAGGGAGAAGGGGGCAGCTATATATCCTGTTTGGGTCCAATTTCTGGAATTTTTTTGATCGAACATGCTAGAAGGATTCCAGCTGGAAGGATCCACCAGGAAAATGCCAGAACCACAGGCGAGCCACATTAGGTAATCAAACTCAGCTGTCACTCACACAGTCACGCCTCAGGAGGCCACTACACTACCCTGTCACGACTCACTACCCCGCAAACGAACAAGGGCGCCTGTCGCCCAGAATGTTCCATTGCCATCCAATCGCCTCTCGACCCAACTCGAACTGTGTATGGAGCAACAAATGTCCCCCTTCATGTCTGCACATACATATCAGGACAAAGTAAGCAATCGCAACCTCCGATCAACCTCGCTTAAAAACTGAACAACCTGTGGAGAAGTGCAGTCTACGGGGTGTCGATGTTGTGGATTTCCGTCCGCTCAAGTCATGACCGAAGTCGAAATTGATTGAGGGGTAGATTAATTTTGCGAGAGAGGTCCGAAGAGAACCCAGAAAAAGACGCGCATGCAGCTGAAAGGATTCACAAGATAGCACAACATTCAATCAGATTAGAGTTGTATCCTGATCCTCTATGATCGAACTTTTGAGTGATTAGTTTTTCGCATCAAATTGTTAGGATGATAAATTTTTATTTTTTTCAAAAAGGAAATGCGAACAAGCGGAGCAAAATGGGGAAAATTCCTGCACAGGTTGAACCTGGTTGAACAGTTGGCTGACCTGCTGGACCATATGAATAAAGTAGGGAGGAAAATGGGTGGCCCATTTGACTTTTCAACCCATGACTGCCAAGGTCCAGGCACAGTTTGAGCAGCTGGCAAGCTCAGAGACCAATCATACAATCTGTTCCAATAGGGCAGTTCACGTTCTGCTGATGTTTGTTAGATCACGAGATGAAACTCCCCCAAGGGGAAAAATGTATTCCAATGATAGAAGACTATTTATACTATTTACAACTATGTATTTGGGTTGGTGAGAAACTAAACATAAATGCATATTTGAAATATGTGTATAGATATATGTAAGACAATAATAGTATGGGAATATGAGTGATGTGACATGTGAAACTATGGAAATATACTTAAGTCCATACTCTGCTATAACACTCCCCCCCTCAACAACCCCACAAAACAAAGAGAAAAGGAGAAAAGAGTAAAGAGGAACCAAAAAAGAGAATATAAATAAACAATTGAAGAAACAGACCATGCAGAATAAAAATATGAAAGATGAAAACAAGTTAGAAAGAGAAAAAATATGCTGAGATCCATGAGAAAGAAGAGTGTAAGAAATAGAAATAGGTGAATAAACGGCGTAGCGGAAAAGATATGTGATAAGGAAGAAATTGAAAAAATAACAAGAAAAAGAAAACAGGAAGGTAGGAATAAAGAGAACAAATTGAGAAAAGAAAAAATAAGAGAAAGAGACAACGATGAAAAATGACGAAAAATCATTGAGGTAAAAACAATCACGACGATCCATGGAGAATTTGGGGTAATGGGGGAATGCGTACATCGCCAGTCGACTCTGCAAAGCATAATAGAAGGAAAGTCAATATCCGAAGAACCAATCATCCGTCTGGCGGCTTATTTCCTGAAGAGAGACGAACAATTGCGGGGGGTGCATGATCATCGCAGCCAGCGCATACTTCCCCCCCATTACTTGCCAAGGTGTGAGGCGTGGACCGTAATCCAGCCTGAGACAAAAATTGAGACACCAACCGCCAGCCAAGGGCTTTGGTGAAAATATCCGCCAGCTGTTCGGTGGTGGGAACCCACTCAAGTCGAACCTTCTTCTTGTAGAGTAACTCATTGATTATATGAAATTCCCGGTCGACGTGACGGTGTTCCTTCCGAGTCCCGCAGTCGGAGCTGATGTGAATGGCCGCCTTGTTGTCGGAGAGCATGAGAGGCGGAGGGAGGGTAAAAAACGATGAGAGGACCGAGGAGAGAAAGCTAGCATCCTTTGACGCAAAGGAGAGGGCCATATACTCTGCCTGGCATGTTGACCGGGCACAGCAGGTCTGACGCTTTGATGACCACGACACAGGGGCCCCCCAGGCCAGAGAGATAAAGCCTTGAACCGAGCGGGCGGCCTCACCACCCCAGTTGGCATCGACGAAAGTTCGAACACCATCCTCCAAGGGTCGATTCGCCACAATCGGGAGAGACAGTTCCGCGGTGTACCTTAGATAGGAAATTAAATGCTCGAGCGCCGCCCAATGCGAATGATCTGGTTTCATGGAGAAACGGGCCAAAAAATTTACGGCAAAAGCGATGTCGGGGCGAGAACCTTGAGCGAGGTAGAGAAGGGACCCAATTCTTGACAGATACTCAATGTCCATGGATCCATCAGATTTGTTGGACAGAAGATCGGTAGATACAATCGGAGTCCTAGTCTTGATTTCGGATGGACAGAAGTTAATGATCTTCTGAACAAGCATAGGCTGATCCAGCCGAAAACCGCCTTCCGTCTCACGGACCCGCACCCCCACTATGCTCGCAAGCCGCTCATCCCATTTGAGGTCCAAAACTTCGGATAGGGACGCCTTCAAGGCTTCAATCAGCGCAGTCGAGCTGGCAGTGAACAACCCGTCGTCGACATGGATCCACAAGAAAGCCTTGTCATCACCTTTGCTGTAGACGTAGGTCGACTGGTCCTCGGGGTTAGGGAAGAAACCGATGTTTTCTAATTTTCCTTTAAGGTGTATCCACCAGCAGCGCGCAGCTTGCTTGGTGCCGTACAGAGCCTTCCGCAACTTGAGAACACATCCTTGCCTGACAGAGACACCCGGAGGCGGGCGAATATAGACATCATGATCAATGTCGCTATGCAAGAAAGCACTCCGAACGTCAAAAGATGCCACCGGCCAACCAAGTCGAGAAGCCATCGCGAGGAGGAGGCGTAGGGATGAAAAAGTGGGGGTGGGGGCAAACGTCTCGCCCACATTCACCCCCTGAACCTGCCGAAATCCCTGGGCCACAATACGAGCCTTAAACTTGATTATGATTCCCTCTTGATCCCGCTTGAGAGCGAAAACCCAGCGGCAGTTAAGGATATTGTTGGCCTTCGACTGAGGCACTTCGACCCAAACACCAAGAAGTTCCATCATCCCGATCTCCGCCTGACATGCATCCAGCCACTCCTTGTGAAAATCCGAACAAAGGGCCTGATCATACGTGTTGGGGGCGTCGGACATGAAAGGGGACATCGCTTCCGCGGAAGAGATTACCGCGTCCTGAAGGTCTAGCTCGCGCAGCTGGGTGAAATCCCCAAGATGTGTCGCTTGGATTGAGTTCAGGACAGCATTGAGAGACCCGGAGTTCGAGAGGCCCGACGGCAGGTCGTCCTCGTGGAAAATAACTGATGCCGCACGCTCGATCTTGTTTTTGATCGGATCCCACAGGACCCAGCCGTGCGAGACATCCGAAACCCCAACATGTATCATGGCCGACGAACGAGGGACGAATTGTTTAGGATACTTGATGTCATGCATGTAAGCCCGGCAACCAAAAACCCTTGCCATGTCGAGTGACGGACGCTTCCCCATGGCCAACTCATATGGAGTCAGCCGGTCATCACCATGTACCACCCTATTGAAGATAAACGCAGCGTGCTTCAGCGAAAGGAACCACAAGGAAGGGGGAAGCTTAGCATGAATGAGGGTAGTTCTGGCCATGTCGAGAAGAGACCGATTAGTGCGCTCAACTGATCCATTCTGATGATGTTCATAAGGAACAGCCATTTCGTGTCGAATGTTGTGTTTTTTGAGGAAGTCTACAAAACGGTTAGAGATAAACTCGCCCGCGTTGTCCGAACGGATACATCGGACTTGATGTGGAGTATGTTTGTCGAAATTCTCAATCCACCTCATCACTTCCGCAGGAGCATCGGCCTTTGTCTTCAAGCCGACTGCAGATGTCATTCGAGAGAAAACGTCGTGAATGATTAGCCCAAATTTGCTTCCATCCAAAGCAGTTGCGAATGGTCCAACAAGATCAATCGCCACTATGTCACCAGGTTTATCAACTATTTCCCTCGAAGGTGAAACAACCGGAGTGTGACGGCTTTTAGCCAACGAGCAGGAATGACATTTGCTAGGCAGAAGCGATAGACTTTTATCGGGTAAACCATCAACAGAATTGAATTTTATTGCGCGATTGACAGAACGAACACCCAGATGGCTAAGGCGAGAATGCCACAACTTGGAGACAGACATAGCAGACAATTCCGGAGTGGGAACGCGATGGGATTGAGAGGAAGATAAAGCGGAAGGAATAAACCAGCGATAGTTGAGAGAGTAGGTCGGAAAAGGAACATTGTCTTGAGTAAAAATAAAACAGCCGTCGTCCAGTGATACCACACCGTCCCATTTGCCGAAGTACCCAACCGATAGAACAGTTCCCTTGACTTGAGGACAGAGGATAACATCGCGTAGTCGAAGATCGCCATAGAGAGTGGGGATAATGGCATCGCCGACGCCTTCTACGGGAATCCGTTCTTGAGACGCAACACGAAGTCGAATATTAGCCGGTCGAAGATTAACAAAAAATGCGCGGTGGGACGTTACATGGTTTGTGGCCCCAGTGTCGACCAAGACATCCGCCGAGTCATCTGGTGTAGCGGAAACAGAGGCAAGATTGCCACCCTGTTCAACAAGTCTTCCAGATAAGACTGCAGACTTGCGAGGACGCCAACCGGGATTGTTTGGGCGGGGATCTTCAAGCGGCATCTGACCGTTTTTGACTCGGGGACAGTCAGGAGCCCAGTGCCCCCATTCCCAGCACACGTTGCATGGGAATTCGGGGGTCAGCCACTTCTTTCCCCAGGAGTCCGCCGGTGGTTTGTTAGGTTGTCCAGGTTGACGACCCGTCTCTGAAGAAGCCGGCCGTTGGCCGCCACGACCGCCGCGATGTCCCCCTCTGCCTCTTCCACCACGTCCGCCTGATCCGCCCGAATTCCCTGAGCGTTGGGAAGAAATCGCCATGGCCGAGGGAGAAGGAGCCGAGCTTGCTTGATGAAGCCTGGATGCCGTATGCAGGATTTCGGTCGAGTTGACTTTGAATTCCGGTTGAATCGCCATCCGAGAATCGAACGCATCAGCGAGTGGCTGATGAAAGCGTTTCAGGCTAGCATGAAATGAAAGGGATAGCAACTTATCTGTTGACCATCCCCCCAATCTCTCCTCCAAGTCTAGCAGGCTCATCTTAAGAGATTCATAGCCCGATGCTATGGAATCTGAAGCGTCTGGGGCCTGCGCGACGTCAGTCCATCGACTGATGAGGAGAGACCAGGAGGATGTAGCGAATCGCCCATGGAGAGATCGGTAGGCCCCATACGCCGTCATTCCGTTGAGGGAAGCGCGCAGCGCGACATCGACTGAGGCACGAATGATTGCCAGGATGCCGTTCGACAAAGGAGGGTCGATCGACGAGAAATCCGTCTTGAAGTAGTCGTCCTGTTGAGTTAGTCGACCAACAAGATCCTTGAGAGCTGCGGACCACATTGGGAAGTTGGAGCCGTCAATCGCCAGAGGAGGTTCGACCTCTTTCCCAAGTTGATGCCATTTCAGGAAGTTGGAAGCCGAAGATGCCGACGAAGCGCCGTCGCCGAGTGGTTGTTTGGAGCCCATGAGGTTTCGGATGAGCAGGACCTTAAGAAGGTTGTCATCGATACCCGACAGACCGGACTTATTGAGCTCTGATTCGATGATCTGGTCGAGAGTTCGCGGTGGCTGTTCATTCTGTTCTTGGTTGCCGCTGCTCGCCGGAAGTGTAGCATCATTCGACGGAACCGAAGATGTATTGTCTGGGAGGGGGGTCTTGTCTTTTGACGGAAAGGGTATGGAAGAAGTCGAAGGGGTTACTTTGGGAAGCGGAGGATAGATGGTTGTGGGGGTAATATTGGGTAGGGGAGGGTAAATGCTGGTGTAAGCAGTCGAGGTTGCCGGAGGATTTGACGATGATGAGTCGCCAGGTGGAGGTACTGAAGAGTCGCCTGCCATTGTAACTCGGGAGATATCGAAAGATAGAAAATTTGAAGAGTCGGATGAGGACTCTGAAGAACCAGTGTGAGTGGTGGTTGACTGTCTCGGAGGTGTTACTCTAGCAGTGAAATCTGGGGTAACGATATCAGCGTTGTCAGATCTTGTATTAACCATAAAGAAGGATTGTTAATCCAAAGGTTGAATGTAAAACGGAGAGAGTTTAGAAGTATAACCCAGCTGGTAACAGCGCGGGCTCATAACCTGTTAGATCACGAGATGAAACTCCCCCAAGGGGAAAAATGTATTCCAATGATAGAAGACTATTTATACTATTTACAACTATGTATTTGGGTTGGTGAGAAACTAAACATAAATGCATATTTGAAATATGTGTATAGATATATGTAAGACAATAATAGTATGGGAATATGAGTGATGTGACATGTGAAACTATGGAAATATACTTAAGTCCATACTCTGCTATAACAATGTTGACCATCAGCAGTTGATCCTTGTTAGAATCCCTATCTTGAGGTTCATGGGAAAGCAACAGGGTTTAGTGGGAGACTCCCCTTTGGAGTCGAAATCCCACAATTAAAGTTCACAAAGTTTGTGCATCAGCAAACAAACCTTGTGCCACATCAGCAGGATTTTTGGTGCAACGTCAACTGCCCTAATCACTCATCTTGCTTGGTCCCTCATAATTAATACCCATGGACCTGACTCATGACCCTGACCCAACCCAACCCCTTCTCCAGCCTAGAATAAAGTAAGAAGCAAACCTGTTCTCAACATTTGATTAGTAAGGGGATTAAATTTCTCTGAAGAAAAGGCTGGTCCAGATTGGCTACCCATGATAAATGGCTGCTCATTGGAAAAAAGCTCATTGTATGTGAAATTTCCTTGTCAAGTTTGATAACAAGAATTTGTTTGCAAATTGTAGCTGTCCCAAGAATTTCAATACTCCAATGCTGATGTGTCAGAATAGGCTGGTTTCAATGAGGCTCAACATCAGAAGTATGTAAACTGCCCTTATTGATGTTCATAGAAGCAATAATCAACTTTTTGGCATATAAGAAGGGAAGGAGAAGTAGGCCAGCATTTAGAACACAGCTATAGCATGCTGCAACAACTACACTACATTGAAACTAGTTTTTAAGCTAGCTTAGCTTGAAAACTCCAAGTGAATTGCTTAGGAACAAAACTAGACTTGAAAAAATTGTAACATGAGCTTTTTGAACAAGAGAAGAAAAAATGATAGAAAAAATGATAGAAAAAATGATTGCAGAAGATAACTTGTAAGAGAAGCTTGATGAAGTTGATGAAAGTAGATGTTATTGATTTGAGGGACAAAGTTGAGATAGGTGATGTTGAGAGTGAGTGAGAGTGAGGAGGAGATAAGATGAATTTACTATATGAGGATGAGAATCAAGAGGGTGAACAGATGGTGAACCAGGAGTGGAGAAAAAAAACTGGGATGCAAACAGAAGTAGAGGAACAGGAGTGAGAAGCAATTGAGATGAGATCAGTTTTTAGATGATAATAAATAAAGTTGCTTGCTTGCTGTGGACAACTGTCACAAGAGGACCACAATAGTTTTAAACACTTAGGGTTGCTATGTGATGCCTATGTATGCATTACTTCAGTTACACTGTTTCCTACAGGCAAAATAAATTTTTGCTAGTGAAGGTGCACAGTAGGATGGGTTGCTGATTTTTGATGATTTTTTGAGAAATTGAATTAGGCTTATTTCAAAAGATTAACAGAACAAAAGATTCCAAAGGAGCAAAACAGAAGATGTGTAAAAACTGTACAGATTTTAAGCTATTGTATATATATGTACTTCTACCCAAGAAGAGAGATAAGAAATTTATATGTGATTCAAGGACCTAATGTCAGAGGATTTTGAAGAATGTTTCAAGAGATTTCACAGTAAACTTGCCATTGAATAACATGATATCTAACAACTTATCTTTCAGGTCCATCAGTGTGTTTCCTACAGAGTGACTAATCCACAAAAAGAAGTTTGAGGACTTTAATCTCTGCAAAATTATTTGTTAAAGATTTTCATGCTCTATGATCAGCTCTGATTGGTTTTCTTGTTTGCCCCCCAAGCTAGTTTCATTAGTTTTTGGAGATCTCCTTCCAAAAGACCTATACAGACAATTGATATTGGTGAAAATGAATAGAAAATGAAAATTTAGCATTCAGTGATCAATCTACGAGAAGATACGGTTTTATCATACCTGAAATCAAGCCCTGAATTCTTCCTGAAGAACCAAGCTTTACTGGAATCGAAAAAATTCCGGTTTTTGTGTCTCTTACACTTAGCACCAGATGACTTGCCAAGTGTTTCATCGCATTCTCATCCCTAAAGAATCCCTGAAACTCGTCAAGAGTGATCATTTTTTTCTGAGCCATGAAGTCGACTGTTTGAAAAATTGATGCCTGAAGTTCTTGTGCATAATGTCTTAATTTTATCATTTCTTTCCTGTTGAATTGATCGCCAATATCTTTGAGTAGAGGTAGTTCATTCAATGTGGTTTTCAAACGATTGAGCTGGTCTAGGTTCTCTCCATGAAGCTGACTAGCACTTTGGAGTATCTTCTCATGAATGGAATTCAGTTCCTCGGCATTCTCTCGAAATTTCCTGGTCATTTGACCATAGTAGCTTGCAGGCTCGGATTTCTCTTCTTTGCTGGATTGGAGAATTTGACTTAATAGTTTTTGGAGGTCGTTTCGTGTTCCTTCAAACTGTGTATCAATGTCAACGGCTTTATCCATCAAGTATAATGAGTCAGTCTCAGTACTTCTAAAAAGATCTGAATGAAGTGAAAAATAAACACCTTTTCTTGAAGCCAGAACGTCCTCAAAGTGAACTGTTTTATACAATTAGAACATTGCGTGTTTCAGTTGATTGGAGTGACAATCCTTATCAGAATGGATGAATGTATGGAACTCACAATGCTTTGTTATTCCATCAGGACCTAGTGAATAATATGGATGAGGAGCCTTCTCGAACATGTTCGCAGTGGTTGGCTTTGAGAGATGCTCTGAGGCCTGGTTGGCTGCTTTGTGGATCAAGAATCCAGAATGGTGATTTTTCAGTTCAATTTGATTGGATTCAATAGCGTGATGAAAGCCTGTTTGTCTTACGTGTAAGTCCACCTTTAGTGTGAAGTCTCACATAAACATCACTATCTTGGCCTTTCGAGTCCATCATCATATGAAGGGCGAAGCGGGGTTTTGCTGGTTCTCTCTGAAAGAATGCCCCACGTTCAACAGGGCTAATCAAGTTTTTGTCATGCATGAAATCGATTGTTTGAAAAATCATTGCCTCAAGCTCTCGGGCTTGTACTTGCAGTGCCTCGTTTTCAATGGTCGTGATACCCTGGCGCATGGGGAAGTTAGCTGGAGGTGTATGTCCTAATATGTTCTCCAAACGTATGACCAGGTTCATATTGTCTTTGCGATCCCGAATCTTAGAGATTTTAAAAATGTCTTCGCGAAGGGAATGCAGTTCACCGGCGCTAAATCGAAGCTCGTTAGCGAAATCATCATAAATCCCGACGGCTTCACCACCGTCGCGTGTTTTCATTGACTTTGTGATAGACTTCTGAAAATTTTCAAGGCTGTCCTGTCTCAATTGGAACATTTTATCAATGTCGCCGACGGATGCCTCGAGGTTATCTATCATGAAGAGTCCAAATTCGTCATTTGTGAGGTGTTCGTGATGATACCTCCTATCTGTTGTAGAACTTACGGTTCTCTGGTTTGACACTACTACGATCTTTAAAGGGATCTCGGTATGACTTTGACATTTTCGCTTCCTCCGAGCTTCCAATCAGAGGGCCGGCGCGATCCGAGGCCTCTGTCGATTCATCGCGCATTTACAATCAAATGGGTAATCAAGACGACAGTCAGGGAATCAAGCGTGAATGTTTTGTTCTATTTTGCCTAGAAAGAGGTACAAACCTGGCATTTCGGCGAGTCGACCACTCGATGCTGCTCTGCCGAGTTCCATGCACTGAGCTGCTCCTAAGAGGAAGAAGGTCATTATTGCCATTCTCTGGGACGCAACACGTACCTTCATCATAAGTAAGGGCGAAAATTTGATTTCTGAGCCAAATTCACAAGCCTTGATGAGCAATGACTACATTGACAGGGGTGATATGAAATTACATAGAGCCATATATAAGGGTAACAAAGGCAGCGTCGGAAGAGCAAAACAGGCCGCATGCAAGATTGGTGCCAAGTCTTTCTTGCAAGGTTGTTTCTAGACCAAGTCCACCTGAAACTCGTTAAAGAGCCCCGGTGAAGATGTATTTTTCTGAGGAATCGACCTCAAACTCGGTCCTCATAACTGAAACCTTCGGAACACGGTCTGATGAAATCGGTTGCTCACTTCACCTGACCGAGAGTTTCGCTGACTTCTGGCTCTACTAGTGGCCTCTACTTCACGGTCACCCATGCTATGTGTCTCTTGAGGGTATAGGTGAGAATACTACAGCAATTATGCCCCAAGGCTTTCATGAGTCTTCTCAAAACACCCCTTCGTATCGTCAAGCCATCGTTCCAGCGTTTCACCACCAACCCCTCACCCAATGTGTCTCACTGTGGGGGTGGCTTATTCAAAGGTATTTCGGGGCCCTGAAAATGAAAAAGGGGCTGGGGTCATTTGAGAATTTAAGCACTATAGAGCAATCATACTGAGATAGGAAAACCGGATAAGGACCATGTGGCAAGTGTGGTTTTGTGTCCAATTTTAATGCCGAGGTGGTTTTGAGGGCAGGTTTATCATGAGGGTACATTCTTGAGGGGCATAAAATTGTTGTTGTTAGATTGGTGTGGGGATTCTTATTGTAAAAGCAGGTGATTGTGATGAATAGATAACTATAAAGCTTGTCCAACTTCCAAGTCAGGAATTTGGTCAAGTAACCCTCTTCCCTCTGTACAAGCACAGATTTTAGACAAATCTCTTTTGTCTAAGGCAAACCCTCGTATATTCAAACCACACTTTCATGGTTTTTATTCACATTGGACGCTAAATACTTTTAGAACAGTTATTGAGGAAATGAACATCTTGAACCAAGACAACAGCTCAAATCACTGAGTTTTTACACTGAAGCATACAAATATGATGGTCAAATCTCCTTTAAGATTCAATTCTGAAAAACTTGTTTTCAAAAATTTGAGTGGATCAAAATAGATATGGGAGAAATCATTCATTTTAAATATTATCTCTTTGATCCTATCCAATCAGAGATATATTAACACAAAATGGATTCCCTCTAGTATTAAACTCAGAGGGTCTTGAAAAATGATCTAAGATCTGAATTTAAAATGAATTTACTTTTGAATACCAGGATATCTAAGTAAGGGTAAATTTCAATCTCCTGTAAGTTTTGAAAAAAATATGAATGGATTTATGCTCTGTGTTGTTCTACTTTGGCTTTGGAAAAGCTAATCTCATAAATTCTTTGGAATTCCCATTCAAAAATCCTGTACAGAAAACCCAATTTGTATGTTTGATTTATCAAGTGTTAATATATCAGTAAGTGATCACAGAAATCAGTAATATATGAATATATTTTATCTCACCTGTAATCAGACCCTGAATTTTTTCTGAAGACCCAAGCTTGAATGGAATTTGCAGATTTGTATGAAAATTTCCGCCTGAAATTAGCATCAGATGATTTGCCAAGCGCTGCATTGTGTTTCCCTCCCTGAAAAATCCTTCAAATTCATCAAGTTTGATCAATTTTTTCTGATACAGGAAGTCAATTGTTTGAAAAATCAATGCCTGAAGTGTTTTTGCATGTTCTTTCAATTTTATCTTTTCTGTCCCTTTCATTTCCTTGGGAATCTCTGTGAGTAGAGGTGTTTCTTTCAATATGGTTTGCAGATTATTGAGCTGGTCTGCATTCTTGCCATGAGGCAGACTAGCACTTTGAAGTATCTTCTCGTGAATGGAATTCAGTTCCTCTGCATTCTCTCGAAATTTCCTGGTCATTTGACCATAATAGCTTGCAGGATCGGATGTCTCTTCTTTGCTGGATTGGAGAATTTGACTTAATAGTTTTTGGAGGTCGTTTCGTGTTCCTTCAAACTGTGTATCAATGTCGACGGCTTTATCCATCAAGTATAATGAGTCAGTCTCAGTACTTCTAAAAAGATCTGAATGAAGTGAATGATAAACACCTTTTCTTGAAGCGAGAGCGTCCTTAAAGTGAACTGTATCAAACAGTCAGAATATCATATTTTCAAGTCAACTGAAGTGGGTATTTATCTGAGAGGATGGATGTATCTACGGAACACACATTCCATTGTTATTCCATCAGAGCCTACCAAATAATACGGGTGAGGACCCTTATTGAACGGGTCTGGACTCGTTAGCCATGAGGTATGCTCCGGCGCCAGGGTGTCTGAATTGAGAAATGAGAATTTTGAGTATGGGGATTTTTTAGTTTAATTTGGCATGGAGGGATTAAATATAGTGATGAAATCCTATTCGTCTCACATGAAAGTCCGCCTTTGTTTCGAAGTTTGACATAAAGATCATTATACTGGCCTTTTGGGTCCATCATCACATGATTTGTAAGGCGGTGGCTGGTTGGCTCCTTCTGTAGGAATTTCATAAGTGCATCATGAGTTATCATGTTTTTGTCATGCATGAAGTCGATTGTTCGAAAAAACATTGCCTCAAGCTCTCGGGCTTGTACTTGCAAGGCTTCGTCTTCAGTGGAGGTGTCAGCGACGGTCTCTTATGTGACCAGGCGTTGATGGGGTAATGGGTCTTACTATAGCCTTGTAAGGCCAGTAGAAATAAAACCTCACCTCAACGCTAGAAAGCGGAGGGGTTAGCTCCCTGGGTTAGAGGGGACAACAGTGGAATGAGCATCACCGCGCCTGAGCTCAGAGTGGTACGATGACTCTCTTCTAGACTACAGTAGTGACTTAACTGTAGTCTAGGATAGTAGAATAAGGATGAAGATAAAAGGTAAAGATAAATGGGAGAGTGTACTGCTAAAACCCCACTCACTAATGTTAAGTAAGGTAAACGGGTTTGTATGGCAATAATCTCTGGGGGAAGGAATCCTAGAGGGAAAGCCCTCCCCTTAAGTATTGCAAGGCAGGGTTCAGGCTGCCTGTTGGACCGGACAGGTCCACAGATGATCATTTATGTATTTAAATCATAAATGATCAAAATATGTATTTAAATTATGATCACACCAAAAGTGGAGGAAATGACATCATCTCTCTCTTTGGGTGAATCAATACAGAGAGAGATAAATAATTAAATCCTCATTGGTAATCATCTCTCTCATTACAGCAGATAATCAAGAGAGAGATGACTAAGCTTTTAATACACATGTATAATATTTATTTATTACATAAGTATAGAATAAGATACCAAGGACACTAGGACTTGGGTACATCCATCAAGATATACCTCATCCTTTGAAGTGGTCATCAAACCACTAAACTAAATCAACTCATGGAAATATGAGCCAATGCAGACATTTGGACATGTCCTACATGTCTCGTGGCTGACAGGAGGTGATACTATGGTGCATGGGGAACTTAAATTGAGGGGTATGATTTATGATGTCTTGCAAACGATTCACCAGGTCCGTGTGCTCTTTGCCATCCTGAATCTGAGACTTTTCAAAAATGTCTTTGCGAAGTGAATGTAATTCTCCAGCGCTAAATTGAAACTCGTTAGCCAACTCATCATACATGCCGACAGCTTCATCACCATCGCGTGTTTTGATGGACTCGGAGATAGACTTCTGGAGATTTTTAAGGTTGTCCTGTCTCAATTGGAACCTCTTATCAATGTCGCCCAAGGATCCCTCGAGGTTATCTAATGGGAAGAATCGTGTCAGTTATCAGGTGTTTGTGGTAACACATTTCATGCAGATACCTTTCAGAGCTTACAAGTTTCTGCTTTGACACTGTGATGTGTGATGTGATTACGACCAGTCTCTTGGTTTAGAGATGACTTTGACATTTTCGCTTCCTCCGAGCTCGCAACCACCGAGCCTGCACGATCGGAGGCATCTGATTCATCGTGGAATTACCACCAAATGATTAAGCAAGATGATAGTCAGAGAATAAAGCCTGATCTTTTCGTTTTGTCTTGTCGAGAATAAGGTACAAACCTGATATTTCTGCCAATCGACCACTCGATGCTGCTCTGGTGAGCTCCATGGACTGAGCTGCTTCCAAGAGGAAGAAGGCCAATATTCCTATTTGCTGGGAAGCAGTATGTAACTTCATGATAAGTAGGGACAAATGGCTGATTACTAAACTAGATCTACAAGCTGAAGGCTCAAGGGGAGCAATGACGAGAATAACCAGGAGGGAATGCGACTAGAGCTATAAGGGTATGTAGGTGGAAAGACGGTAGAGTTGGAAGAGCAAATGTAATCAAAGGAGGGAATGGGATCAATTCAGAGTGAAAATTATGAAGAAGGAATGCCAGAGTATAAAAACAAATGAGCAGCCAGAGTATATAAATAGAATGAATGAGACTACGCTATGAAAAGGCAAAGATGGAAATGTTATACGCTGCGGTCACTACGTGACACGAGGAAGTTTCATGAGCAAGCGAACATGCCTCATCAGAGCAGCTGAGCAACGAGGGAGACAAGACAAGTTTAGTGGAAGTCGAGCAGCACGGCGGTCAATAACTTGTACCAGCGACCACTGGGAAAGGTTTTCTTCGTCCATACGTTCCATCCAAGAATCGACTAGACCTCCATCAAAGCCTTGTCATCAATCAGCAAAAAACAGACTGGGTGTAACATGGCCAATGGCCAGCTCACCTCAGCATGTCATGACAGAGGAATATGGACATGTCTATTACCTCACTGAGTCAGGAGTGACTGGAATCTGAAAGAGCCAAACTAAGAAAGGTTTGGCACCTCATTTGGTCCCATGATGGGGGGGGGGGGGCTCCACCATCCCAACTCACCTAACCAATCCTCCATGTGCAGCCAGACACTTCCGTTGAAGTGTTTGGGAAGGAAATCCTCCATTTGCAAACGATTTTACCATTTTCAAGGCTATGATGGATTGAGTTGTTGAATTCCCAAAAAACTATTAAAATGAGAATGGAAAAATAGAAAAAGACGAGTCACTTATAACATTTTTGAACAGATCAAGGGGGAAGAGAAGTCAAGTAGGATTTTTTCAGATTTATGAATTTGATTCTCAAGAAAATGTTTCTTTTCTGCATTTTTTCCGGAAGGTAAACTGGAGATTGAAGATAATTTTTCTTTGATTTCATTAGCATTTTACTTGTTCCATGGAATTAGTCCTTTAGACCTCAACTGAGGAAACAGATTTTCTTCATATTTATAACATTTATCTGGATGACTTAAATTCTCAATAAATCTTACAAATAAAAGATCTGAAACAAAGATATGATTCCAACTTTCGAAATTTTCATTCTTGTAATAATTGCCAAGAAGATATACTGCAAGTTGGCTCAGGTAAACATGTTTGTTTGAAACAGGGATGTTCTTTAAGAACACATGTTCCTCAACGGTGATTTCATACGGAACTCCATTATCCTTCAAAACAAGTAGTCCTACTATGGCATTGTGGAGTGTTTGCTTTAGTAAAGACTTTGGAGAACTTTGACTATGTGAGAGTTCTACATTTCTTGAATTGTCTCCACCTTCTTGATCCATCATGAACTCAAAAAACATTTGAACCATTCTTTGCTCTTTGAAAAAAAATTCTTCAAAGACTTCACAGCCCATAGCTTGAAGAATTTTTCCATTAATCTCCCACATAAATTCTAGAAAATTGTTCAACTCTGCTTCAAGCTCAAAATAATTCAGCTTCATAAGGAGATCTCTTTTTTCAGATGTCACCTTTTCTTTATGGCTTGAATGTTCATTAATATATTCTGCAATGATTCTTTGAGTAGACACAATTAAGTTCTTCCTTGGTTTAAATTCTGAAATTAGCTTGGTTTTCTTTCTTAATCTCAAGGTGGATATATCAAACCACTCATGAGCTTTGGACATACTCAAAGAGAAGTGTTTCCAAAGGTTGAAAAATTTCTTGTTCTGTTCAATGTTTTTCAGATCAAAAACTGATTCATCACAAGGAATTGCTTCAACATATTTGTGAAAATTAGATCATTTTTCATGAGATTATTTGGACCAAGTAGGGGCAGATCTTGTTTACAAGGATCAGCCCAAGGTAACAGATTTAAATCAGTTGGTAGATCCCATGTTGCTCTATCTTCCCAATCTTCCCCCAATTCTTCCAACTTCCTTACAAAATCAATATCATTCTGTCCAAAAACATAATTCCATTTCTTGAAGTTGGTGTTCTTGTAGTAAAAGCCAAGAAGGTGTACAACAGCTTCACTCAAAACAATATGTATTTCTTTTGAATTGTAAAACTTGGACAATTTTGGTTGATGCAGCCGATACAATTTTCTGCCTGACTTTGCATTGAGCGCTTGAAATACCTTCTTGTAAATGAACCTGCCTTGGGGTATGATTTCAATATGGAGGTACTGAGCAGCCATTTTGGCCAAAAAAAATGAAAACATGGGGATGAACCGCCAATTTGGCCAAACAACCGCCAAATGACGCCCCTGAACCGCCAGAATGGCCAAATTGAAAAATGAATCCAACCGCCAAATTGGCCACCCATGCTCCTGAGCCGCCATCATTGCCCCTGAACCGCCATGCATGGCACTGAACCGTCAAATTAGCCATCAATTTTGAAAAACGTCAAATACAGCCTGAAAATCATACAGGGCATGGCGCACTACAGAAGCCACATTCCCCACCTGTATCAGAAATGTAAACACATAGATTCTGTTCGTTCCATAGTGTTACCCGTTACTCGTTACACATAAGGACAAAACAAGCCTTGCATAAGTCACATCCAGACAACGATCCAGCCCTTCCCTTACAGCTTCCAGACGATCCAGTCCTGTCCTCACAACATCAAGACGACCCAGTCCTTTCCATTTCTAGATCAAGAGTAAGCAGCAGAATCCCATACTTATGCACCCTTAATAGCCAAACACAACTAACGTAACTTGCATAGAAAAAAAGATGTTCTGTTTCCAGTGTGGAAAATCTCCCGTGGTTTTCCGTGGATTATGCAACGACTGTGTCGACAAAATGATTCCAAACTCAGCACCTCCTCCAAAAATCAGACCTCCAACTGGCCAATTGACCTCGGCTCAAGAGGTTCTCCAATCTAAACGGCAAGAGGCAATCCAAAGGGCCAGAGCGTTATACTCCAATCCAATCACCACACCTACTGTCCCCAGCCCACTCGGCCAGTCCATGGCATTTCCTATTGGCGTGAACCCAGTGGTGAATGGATTGACAGGCAGCAGTCAAAGTCTGTAATTTCATGCGTGTAAATCCCATATCGTTCTACTTCAAACATTAAAACTCACCTATAACCTTATTACTACTGTCTAATACCCCACCACAGCTGTGGTCCCTGCGGTCTTGAACCCTGCATACGAATCAGCCCAAGCATCACATTCCATGGCATTTCCTATTGCCGTGAACCCAGTGGTGAATGGATCGACCGGCAGCAGTCAAAGTATGCAATTTCATGCGTGTAAATCCCATATAGTTCGTTGTAACTCACCTGTAACCTTATTACTACCAACACAGCTGTGGTCCCAGCCATCTTGAACCCTGCATACGAATCGGCCCGAGCTTCAAGAGTCTCAAAAACTCAACCTTACCCAAACAACCGAGTCGGACGTACAGTTGCAAGAAGAGCTCCGGCAAGTAAAGGTGCCCTACCTGCTACGAATCCTCCCGATAAGATTTCGGTCCAATGTGGCTTTGAGATGTGGGCCCGAGGCAAATATGCCCCTTCACAATCGGTCATTCGAAGCAATCAGTTTGTGCTCTGGTCAAATCCTGATTCTTTTCAAGAGCTGATCGACACGCTCTGCAACAAGTTCAACGGTAAAGTGGAACTCCGGACAAAGATGACTGAGGACAGGGAAATGTTTGGTGTCGAGCACTTCAGTTTTTGTCGGTTAGGCACCAAGAAAGGAGGATCTGTTGAAGATTACGAATCGTTTGTCGAGTTCTTAAGGCGGGAAAAGGCGATCGACTTGATTTATGACCGGGACACCTTTGAACGGCACACCCTTGATGAAGAAGAACAAGAAGGAATTGACGCTCAAGCTGCACGATATGCTCTCCGATCAGGAAAGGACACTGAATATCATGAAGATTTGCATTCAGACGCTGAAAGTGACAGCTCTGAATCCAGTCTTCCTTCGACCATTTTCACATCTGCAACCGGTTCAACATCGACCACAACCTTACCCCAGAATCGATCAACTTTACCTCCTCCTCCAAGTCTACCTTCTTTGACATCAGCAACCCGGTCAACTCCAACCACTCATTTACCCCAAAATAAATCACTTGTTCCTCCTCCCTCTCAGCCGGTGGTTCAGAACAACCACGATCAACGTCCAAAATTCTCCTCAGTCATTCAACAAGAGACCAACCCCCATGTTGAAGCCTTGAACAGAAACTTGGACGACGAACTTGTGATTTTTAGCATCCGCCCATCTTGTAAGTGTCACTATTTTAAATAACCACCTGACTTGAGTGACTAAGAATTTGTTATTAGGGCGAGCCGAACCAATCTTGGATCCAAACGATTTATCTTGGGAGAGATTTGGGAGCATGGAGGACACTGTTTCATACCGAGATTCCGACAACTCCGACTGGGTTGATGGAGTTCGATTGAGCCTGGATCCCGATGGGCTCAACATGCCTCAGAAAATTTGTCTCTACCGTGTGAATTATAATAAATGTTTCAAGGTGAAAGAGACGACCAAAATCATAGCGGCCGAGGTTCTTGACTCTGGAAAGATTTTTCCCATGGTAGCCGAATACTCTCGAGTCCGCAAGGATCTAACACGTGATTCATATTCATGTGTACCAAACTATTGGCTGAGGACCTATGCGGTTTCCAGGCAATTCCTGGCTCAATTCTGTCAGGCTATAAGTCAGTCGGAAGGTGGGACAATTATTAAGCAAACAGCAAAAAGGTTACGGGTGAGTGTGTCTGCTATTCAAATCCTTTACAAATTTCATGGACTAACCAACTACCCACCAGATTGTCGATGGATTTCCTGTTCACCATGACATCTTTACTCGACCAAGACATGAGGATAAATATGTTCCTGGTCAGGATGATGATATGTTTGATTCCACTGAAGAACCCAACTACAATCTCCCGCCCAACAATATTTGCGATGAACCATCTCGAGTGTTCTGGATGGAAGAAGAAATCACTGGCGGCTATACGTCCCTTTTGTCAATTGATGACGATGTCTACTTCACCGGTGAACCTCGCTCTCCCACCGAATTTTTGCTCCACTCGTTTCAACACTGGCTCTATAATCACACTCACGGCCAGATCACCATTCATAAATTTAAAGGC